TATTATTGGACATCTTTCAAAAGTTGTTTGAAGGAACTGAAACTGTTTTTTGTTTTTTAGTGGTGCCTAAAATTCACATAACGGTGTAAATTGAAAACCGAAAATTCAACCTTATTGTTGGATGAACACAAACACGTATGAATATGTTTGTACGCATGTGATCTATCGATAAAAATCTTTGTATGTGCACTGGATCGAATTTTCCAATAAAAACAGAACTTTTCTTTGTTGATTATCTATCTTTTTTTTCTCTTTTCTTTCATCAAGGCAAATGACAAGGAAACGCGTTGGTAATTTATACGACTTTTCCTTTTGACCTTTCCAAGCTCAATTGTTGTATGTAGGCTACTTTGGAAAAGTAATTGGGGCTTAATACAAACAAGTATTTTTAGTCCACGTACAATTGCCACACTAACTAATGAGATGGCAGCTATGAAAGCTGAATTTAGGAAAATTACTCGCAAGCAACCTAAAGCCTAACTACAAATTAATGTGTTCAAAGTTGTGCTCATCCAATCTTTTCGTGCAGCCAATTGATTTGTCAGTGCTTAATAACGTCACAAGATTATATTCATATTGATAAAATTTGACAAACGTAATGTTATAATTATATGTTGTTAAATTTGTAACGGAGTTCAAAAGAAGAGCCGAAAATATTTTATTGGAGTTGAATTTCTATTAGAATATTCCAACTTCAGATTTCTATATTTTTTTTTCTATTTGAAATTATTAGAATATCACTTATGAGTTGTATCATATTCTATAGGGAAAATGAGCCTAGTATATAAGTCTAGTGAGCTACTCCTTCCATCACAAATTGGTTTTGGGATGGAACCTCACTAAGGTGCACCTAGGCTCACCCTCTTATGGTGAGCTTCATCTGGTGGGACCGCATTCTCTTCCCCCGATTATAATAAATCTAATAGAAATGTTACAATTGAAACATTTTCGAAATAGTTTTTTTATTTGTTTACTTTCAACGAAATGTCTTGTCTAGTCCGTCTCTTTGTTGAAATTCTATTGAAATTTCACCAGAAATAGTTACAACATTTTGATCATATTCATCGGTTTTTTGAATTTGTAATGTTTTTATTGGAATGGGGTTTCATAGCCAAAAAACGCTACCTTTAATTTCAAGGTTTAATTTATCTAGTTTTATATTTTGTGTGGGAGTGAGGGGGATAGATTTTTATTTCAATTTAAGAATTATAATTCGTTGAAGCTCGATGAGCCGGTGAAAGTGGTTAGCTTGGGCTAACCGATTCGGAATAATCCCAGCTCGGTAACAAAGTTTGACTTTATCAAAGAACTCAAGATAATGGCTCGAGGGACAAGTTAAACATGAATGAGAAGTAAGAAGCCAACTGGATAGAGAGCTCGACTGGAAGCGACCTGGATGCGGGCTCTAAGGTTCGAACGAGGTCGCTTAGCGACCTGGTAAGAGATGTGGCAGATAGGTCAAGAAGTCGCTATGACTCAGAAGGTTATATTGAGAAAACATATAAATTACCACTAATAAAGGCTAGTTCATCTCACTTATATGAATATGAGATCTCATAGACGTATCATAGTAGAAAACGAGATATGCGAAAATCTCTTTCCTAGCTAGTATAAAATAACGTGGATAAGATGACAAATTTCTTAAAAAGAGGTCTTATGCAATTTACTCAGAATAAACTAATTCACAACCCCACAAACCATATCTCTAATTGAGCGTCAAAGATTTTTCTGCCAGAATCTCTCTTGACGTATTTTACTAGTCATCACAGCTCGAGTCTAGAGGCGGTTCGTGTCATCATCGATTTTATCTCGATCTAGAGTCAATTTGCACATAAAAAGATAGTGTTAATTAATGTAATTTTCTTTTTGAAAAGATAATGCAACAACATATATATGAAGAGGTATTCAATTCTAAAACTAATAAGATGTTAGTTGTTTTGAGTTGAAACTATGTTATTTGAAATTATTGGGCATAATTAGATGAAGACTATAATAAAGACAACGTGTGTTTACATCATTATTGTCATTGTGACTAATGTAATGTCCAGTATAGTGTTGTAAACGAATCGAGCAGCTTTCTCGCAACACACTAGCTAGCTAGCAGTCGAACTTCGACATTTTGAATGTGAACTCAGCCTGCAATTGTACGACTGAATTGTCGATGAGCCCTTCAAATTTATATAAATTATCTAAATACCTACATTACACAATTTTTAATTGAAATTTTGAGTCGAGCAAATTGGAGCGAATATCAAACTTGAACCAATCTCAAACATTTGTACTCTATCAACTCCAGCCGAACCTTAAAATGTTCAACCCTCGACTCAACACGTTTGTATCCTTATCCTTGATATCCACTATCCGTTGAACCAAATCATTTTCCAACACAGTAGATAGATTCGTGTCTCGAATCCCAATATCAACAGTGTCTGACATTACAACCATTACAAAGAACAAACATGATTGAAATGTAAAAGTTACAAACATTCAATTTTTGACAAATATATAAATAGCCATTTCATAATGCTATATTATGGTCATGAAATGATGGTGCATATAAAAATACATGCAAGAAGATAATGCAGAGGCTGAAGAGCCAATATGAGCCGAAGAAAATAATTATTAATTAGCACCAATCTCATATCCTCAAATATAAAAATGGACAACTATCTCAGTTGTGAATTGAATATTAAAAATGAATAATTAATTGTTTTTAATCTTCTTAAATATAACTCTTTGAGTATATATTTGGGCATGTGCATGACGTCAGCGCCCATGTAATTAGGAACCTTCTCATCACATCACCTTCGAGTTTCCAAATTTAACCGTTCTGATTAAGGCTGGTGTCATTAGTTGATTTGATTGTGCGTGTTAAAGATGCTTTAATCATGATTAACAGCAGCTTAATTAACTTATTCACTAGTGTGTGGCCCGTGCGATGCACGGGAAAACAATATTACGATTGTATTATAAATTTAATATATAAATAATATTAATCATGAATTATCCATTGTTTTTAAATTAAACCGGGTTGGACACAATCTACTGGATGGACCGAGAACTGGTTTATAACCAGTCTAATTCGCTTGAATAAAATATTTGCTCTCAAATACGTCAACACCAGTCGGTTGGACTGGTAGGATCGATACGATTTTCTAAATAAATTTTGTTATATTTAAAATTATTTTAAATAAAATTACATATTTAAATAAAATAGAGATTTATAAATTATTTATCAATTAGTTTAAACATTTGAATTTATAAATTGTTTAGACATTTAAGTAACACATTTTATTTAAATTTAGTACAATAAGTACTATATATATACATATATAATAAAATGTTTACAAATTAAAATCTGAATAAACCACAAATGATTTAATAAAATATCTTGATCGTTTCGATGACGGTCCAGTTTTGAAAACCTTATATTTAATGTACATTAATAAATATTATAATAAAATATTATTTAATTCACATAAATATTAATAAAATGATATATAAATATTAATAAATCATTAAGCATGTTGTCATAAAAGTATTGTTAATACAACTATTTGAAGTTTGAACTACATTACATTTACGTTATAAATTATTTTCAATATAAAATTTATATGTAGGTTCAATAATCGATTTTGTGTGGTCGAACTGATACATAACTTAGTCACCTGGGACCAACCAAGTTGTGTCAATTTTTTTGATTATTTTAAATATCACCTAAAAGTAATTTAATTAACCTGGGCAGTACCCTAATTCAATCACGCCATTGATCTGAAGAAATTTTCTTATTTTCCTTACATATATTTAATTTTATGAAATAAAAATATTTTATGATTCATATAATAAATGTCTACACCAAATGATGGTATATTAAGATTATAAATTATATACCTAAAGATGAATTAATTATTTGTACTTTATGCATAATAATAAAAAATAAACATAGTAATTTTCAAAAAAATAAGATTAATTGATTGATTATGCAATTTAAATAATATTTTTAGCGTTCAATTTTTTTTTAAAGGCACGAATATAAGGACCGAGATTCTAAAACTTTTGTTATATTTTGAATTGAGATTTTATAAATATAGAGACCGGGATTTTAATGTTTTTTGTTGTTGTTGATAAACGGATTTGATCAACTAAAATGAACACCCCTATTCCGTGAATAATCGGTGTTCGATCGATTGTATGTATATTCAAGATAGAAAAATCAAGAACTCTTTGTATTATTGTGAGGAGATTATGAGGAGATGAATATCTCTCCCTTTTTCACTATGTTTGTGGGTCTTTTAAAGAGAGCCCTCATTCCTCCCTTTTCTCCTTGATTTGTGTGCCTTAGATTCAATCATGCATCCCTCCCCCTTTACAAGTGGGCTTACAAATGGGATATGGGCTTACAAATGGGCTTTATCGGAAATTATTGTGTCTGTCGGACTCTGATCTTCTCGATATCCGGGTCGGGCTGATGATATTAATTCTGCTCGGCCTAAACGTGAACGATCTGGGCACTTCGGAACTCGATTGATATTTAAATAATCGACGCGATGAACCTGTTATATTTATATATATTTATTACATATATCCACGTGTAATATTTTAATAGGCGAGGCCAAAATTTGATGTCAACAGTTGTTTCTAAGAAAAAAATAAAAATAAAAACATACACACTTAATAAATCTTAGCTGAATTTTTTAAATAATAAAATGAACTAAATCTCGAAATGTAAGGTAACATTTAATGAAGATAAGTAATTAAGTGAACAATGATAAAATGCTTTTATTTATTATAGCAGTCTGCATGTGCGTATAAATATGTAAAATCCATATTTTGATATAGATTGTATTATGAGGAATCAACAAATTCCTTTATTTTAGGAGATATCAAATTCCAATTTGTATTTCAAATTAGATTCCCAAATTTGTAGGCTGCCTAAGTCATAAAGGCTGATTCGGCTTATTTAAAGAAAAAAATACGAATTTAATGGTATTAATATATAGGATTGTATGATGGAGGAATAAACAAATTCCCTTATTTTAGGATATATCCGATTTCATTTTGTATTTCAAAGTAGATTTCTAATTTGTAGGCCTCCTAATTCATAAATGATGATTCGTTTTTATGTAAAAAAAAAAAAAAGAAAAAGAAAAAAGAAAAAAAAAATCTAAAAACAGTAAGCAATTAATGTTGTCCTAAAATTTCTAGTTACTATTTATGGTAAATAGTAATTCTTATTATATATATATAGATATAGATTAGGTTTACCTCTTCTTTTTTCTTGATAAAAACAACCTGCACTTAAGTAGATAAAAAGCAAGCATGCGACGATAATTTTTATTAATTGGACCACTTGGACGAAAATATCATTAGTGCAATTTTTTGTATCTCAATATAATTATTTTTTATAGCAAATAAAATTTGTTATAGCATCTAGGTGCCACTGGATATATAAGGTTTTCAAAATTATCTCATCCAAAAAAATCAAAATAAAAAAGTAAAAGTAAAATGTTTTTATTAATAATGATATGAAACATATATGTGATGGTAAATGAATATAAAATACAATTTCAATGTTAAACATGAAAATCAATATTTGAAAAATATAATTAATTATTTCGTCCTACGGTTAGGCCGTCAAATATCAGTATTTATGGATTATTCTACTGAAGTTGTGAATAATAAGTTACTAAATATGTAAAAATGGATGTAAAAAAACATTCCAACAATAATATATAAAGTTGAAATAATAAATTGATAAGAACTTCTATGAGATTTATTTAGTAATTTACGTTTTAAAATATTTTTTCATATATCGCACCAACTCTACAACATTCTTAATAATAACCTTAATTACTTGATATTTTTAACTCGAAATTGAAACGAAAATAAGAACATTGTTAACAAATTATGTATACCAATATGTTTGCACAATTTGGACCTAAGGAAAAATATATCACAATGGGGGCATCGATATAAAAAGTCTATATAAAAGATTTTGGAAAGCATAATTTTTCAGTCAAGCATTCATGAAAATTCTACGGCCAATTTTTCAACAATTCAAAAAGGTAAGAATGACCGAATGAACCACACGTGCTTATATATATGACATCTATACTTATATTAAAAGGGATACTATTTACTAAATTAAGTAGCCAAAAAAGTCAACAGCATTTATTGCATTACTATTTTCGTATTATACTATATAAAAGATTCTATTTAATACATTTACTATCCAGAAAAGTCTGCATTAAATGTCATTACTATTTTGGTATTATAATATTTTATTTATTTAATTGATTTATTTATTTGTTTTATTTTAAAAATGTAAGTATAATAAAAAGATTTTAATAATAAAAAAATTAAATACCAAATAAAAATGTACACTTTGACTTATTTGATTATATTTGGTATTTGATTATACCAAATATATTTCTATTTAGAATATATACATTAAATACTTACTAAAGTATTTATTTGTTTTATTTGTCAAAGTTAAGTATAGATTTGTTTATATTATCAAATCATAAAAAAATATTAAATCCATATTGTAAACAAAAAATCATATAATTTTATAACAATTCTACTACACTATTTAACAATATTTTTTTTTTATTATATAATAAAATAATAATTAAATATTATATGGTGAACAACAATAAGTAAAACTGTTACTTTCTCTTATATCAAGGGATAAATTTATATACTAAAATTAAATTTTTATATTTAGTGAGATAATATATTAATTATTTACAAGCTAGCTCTAACATGCTCATATTTAATGTTTTAAAAGATGTAGAAAAAAAACTTATAATAACTCTATTGTTTTTTAGACTTAAACGTTGATTAAAAGAGGTAAAAGTTCCTAAATTTTTAGACTTAAACGTTGATTAACACCATAGATTGGGAGTTTATATTTAGTAAAATTCCTAATTGTAATAAAAAAAATAAATTTTGCTATATTTTAGAATATCTTAAATTCATTATAAAAAAAAAAAGAAAAAAAAAACTACAATGAAAAAAGCAAGTCAGCTATATATTGATTTGTTGTACTCCTCAAATCACATTCAGAATTTGGCTACAAGGAAAGGAAACTCATTGATTAAAATATTATTTTGTCAGTAGTCTTAATGTACAAGAGACTTTAAGACTCCATTTGAATATTATAAAACTTTTATTGAACATTGTACAATTTCTTGTCTATTATAAACTTTTATTAAATATTGCATCTTATAATATAATATTCTCCAAATAAATATATCTCGTGCTTCGCACGGGTCACGTACTATATATATCCCGTACATTTTTCTTTATTCACTGAATAAATAGCCTTAAAATTATGCACTCCGTGCATCGCACGGGCTCTGTACTAGTATCATGCTTAAAAGCTCAAAATTATAATTATCGTTCACATGACAATGAAATTAAATTCAAATATCCAAATTTGTTGACTAACTTTACATAGATATAATTGCCTGATTTTAGTAAGTTCCATCAAATTTGCCAACCGTGAAACACGCATAGTTGCAATTAAGTTGTTAGATTTTCCACAAAAACAATAATAAAATAAAAATAAAATAATGTGGAAAGTGATATATAGAGACATTTTTTTCCTTCAAATTATTTGCACCCTGAAATTCAAACATTGATCTTGTTAGAGTCAGATTTGGGTTTTTCAATCTATAGTTCTTTTCCGATGGTTACGTTTCCAATCAACATAAAGATGGAAAAAGAAAACTACAAGAATGAACTTTATTGGGTGATAATATGATTAAAATTAATTAATCTATACTACTCTAGTATAGATTATAATGAAAATAGTAATCTATACTGTCATGCGTATTTTCATAATTCAATATGTATATCATTCTAGTAGTGTATTACGATTCAAAGGTTATTAAGTTTTTTTTTTTTATATAAAGTAATATTTTATATAGTAAGTTATCTAATAATTGAAAAAAAAATGGAAAACTTAATCTTAATTATAGAACCCACACAAAATGTACCTAACAAAAGCAATTTTAACAATCTAATGCAAATTCCGTAGTTTTAGTATGTAACTAAAAAACGAAGTGAATAGCATTTTAATCATATTTTTAGAATAAAAAGTGAGCATTTGGGAGTGGGGAAATTTTAAATTTTCTATTTTGAAAATTGTCAAAATAACTTAGGTGATTTATATATAAGCTCATGATTAATAAGCAACAAATTCCTTCAAATAATATTCAGGTATGGCTATCCACACCCACCATATTTCTATTTCACATGTAAATCTGCTAATTTAGCAGGCCTTTTGTGTTATCATTTGGGCCTTACTTATTTTTAATAATTGGGCTTTTATTTGAAATAATGTTCTGGTGTGGCTATCCACACCTACAACATTCCTATGGCTAAAGGACGCAGCTACAACTTATATTTTCCCAACTGCAATATTACAGTAATATCTATTCCTGTGATTTTATATTCCAAAAAAACGCACACGGTGATATAAAATGCATGTAGCTTTGTTTTGTTGGGTTTCTTTCACTTTTATGTAGCTTTGTTTTGGTTGTTGCTCTGTAATGTTCCTAATGCCCCAAAGCTGCAATCTTTATTTTCCTTTTGCAGGAATTTTCAACTTTTGTTTTGGGTTTAAGAATGTCTGAACTCTGAGAATCTCTGATATTTCTTAGGTTTTCCCAAATGCCTTCACTAGAAGAAAAATTTGGTGTTGTTTCTAAGTCAAAAGCATTAACCATATTCAGATGCCTTGCCTTTATTCAATAATATTTCAAATCTACCGATTTACATCCGATCAATATCATGACCCCAGCCATCCGAGACCGAGTTCTCAAGGACGTGAATGGCGACATTAATGACCATTTACGCAAACACATTCACCTCACAAACTGCATCCACTTAAAAAACCACATGCACAAGCAAAGTCCCATCTTAGCCGAACGAGCCCTTATTCGTGACCTATTTGCCCTTCAAAAGTCGAGGTCTTTACGCGACCCGTCTGCAAGCCCCTACGCATGGCATTCCCCTTCCACAGTTGATGCCCTTATTAAGAGATCTGAAAAAGATGAGGCGATTACCGTGAGACGGTCAGTCGGAATCGAGCGTCCCAGAATCTCTGTAAGTTCCCTTCAACAAGACAGGAGAGAAGAAGGTTCTTACAGTGTTTCTAGAAGCTCAGAGTCCAAGGAAAGGAGTTTGAAGATGGAATAAATGTTCGGAATCGAAATAATAATGCTTATAATAATCGGGCAAAAAGACGGAGGTTTCGAAAGCTCGAGCTTAGAGGCCTTGCCTCGTGTGATAATAAACAGGTGCCAAAAGTTCTTTTTCCCAAAGTTGAAGGATGCGGATGTAATTTATACTTTGCAGTGGATTGCGAGTAAGGAGGATTTGGAAATCGATAAGGATGCTTTGAAGCTTATCGCGTCGAGGTCAGATGGATCTTTAAGGGATGCTGAGATGACTTTAGAACAACTGAGTTTGCTTGGGAAGAGAATATCTCTTGGCCTTGTACAAGAATTGGTAAGTTATTTTCTTCTTTTGACTTGAAGTAATCTTATAGTAATCCTGAGGTGGAAACTGGAAAGTCAACATATTTTTACTATCCCTTTTTTATTTTATTTTATGTTTATTTATAGGTTGGGCTTATTTCAGATGAGAAGTTAGTGGACCTACTCGATTTAGCGTTATCTGCCGACACAGTTAATATTGTAAAGAATCTGAGAGATATCATGGAATCTGGGGTCGAGCCGTTGACATTAATGTCACAGCTTGCAACTGTTATAACTGATATTCTGGCGGGAAGCTATGATTTCATGAAAGAAGGATCTAGAAGGAAATTCTTCCGGCATAATGCACGTAAGTTTTCACCATCTCAAAACCCGTTTGATCTTTTTTACATTATCCAACTAACTTCTGACATTTTTGTTTTGTTGTAATGTATTGTATGTTTCCTTTATAGCGTGCTTACCCCATTCCGTTAGTTAAAGTTTGTATCTACTCACTTTTCAGTGTACTTGATTAAGCATTTGAATTGGTGTAAATGTGGTTATAACTTATAAACCGGAGAGTTAGTTAGCATTGTGTTTTATCTTTTTTTTTCATAAATTGTGAGAAAAATGAGAACGAATATCATTCATTAAAATCCATTTCTTCGTATTGATGGACCAAAGTGCATATAATCTACAGTGTCAAAAGAAGAAATGGAAAAACTTCGCCAGGCCTTAAAGACTCTATCAGAAGCCGAAAAGCAGCTAAGGGTATCAAATGACCGATTAACTTGGCTAACTGCTGCTCTTCTACAGTTGGCTCCCGAGCAACAGTACACTAGCTTTCACCACAGTCCGTTGAGAAAACCGAGGAAAAGCAATGCTGAAAAGTCAAATGGTACCGTCATTAATGGAAACAGCAAAACTGAGGAGATATGGCTGCAAATGCTTGAAAAGATTCCGATTAGTACCGTGAGAGAATAATGTATCATGAAGGGAAGCTGATCTCAGTCAGTTATGGGACAGGTAGTTTTGGATGTTGTATAAAGTATAAACAACCATCATAAATCATATTTTCTGTAATTATCTAAAAAAAATTATCTTTTTCTG